ATCGCCCATCGCCGATATCCTCTCGTGTCCTCGCTGTAAGGAACCAGTTTCGTGCAGTCCCGTCATCATCAGGCCCCAAATCGCTCTTCGCTCGACCCCTGTTCTCGTGTCGCGTGGCATCCTCTGACCAACGCCGGCGAACCCGTGAACCCCGACCACAGCGCACCACTGGGACCACCACCACTTGCTGTCCGTGATCGTGGGCCATCAGCGAAGCTCGACACCTGTTTTTAAACTCGTTCGAACTCCGGTTGCTGTCCGCGTAACCCTTCGTCGGTCCCGCTGCTGTTCCGACGTCACGATCGTCCTCCTCGGAGTACTGTTCACTTTTCATCCATCCCGACGATCCGCTGCTCTGCCCCTGAGCTTAACCCCGGTGGTCCCAGCGGTCCCGTGATTCCATCAGCAAGCCCGTGCTTGTTTGCTATTCGAGTATCGCAGATCCCGACGAGAACCGACGACCCGCAGCCGAGCCCCACCGTGTTATTGTTGTTCGTACCCCTGTTCACAAGTTCCACGTGCAACGGCTGCCCCGTACTACTGTCCCAAAGTTCGAACTGCAAGCAATCGACCCCCCCAACGTGCACGTGCTATCCGTTCGGCCTCGATTTAGTCCCGTTTTGTAACCCCGTCCCGAGAACAGTACCCGGGCTAAACCCTTGACTTATTTATCTCGCATTACATGTATTAAAGTGCTCGTATCCATGTCGTTATTTCTGAACGTGAGAGTTCGACTAATTATATGTCGTAGTTGAATATCTTGTATAATTATTGATATATATGTTGAAATTGGATACCAAAGTGATTGCCGTCACTTTGGAAAATTGTTGAACTGAGGTTAATATTTTCCGTGGGAGTGCTGTGGACTATTGGACTTCGGAATGTACTTGACGCAACGGCTTTGGCCTTGCGTCGTTTCGATGTGTGTATTGTAAAATATGAATTTTTGAAAATCGTGCTGCAGCCCGTTTTTGTTAAAATCACTATAATTTGTGTATTGCTCCAAAAATTTTGATTTTTGGATATGTTGTCACATTGCTGTTATATTACATGTAGTTAAAATATGAGATTTTTATATGGCCTGTAGCCTCGTCAAAAATTAAAAACCGTTTCTGGGTTGTTACGTAATAAATTCATATAAAATTGAGTTCTTATCCGATTAAGCTAATTTTTGGATATGTTGTTGTTCTTAATGATATCTTGCTTCTGTAAAAAGTTCAAAATAAAATTCAGACCGTAGCTATTTTAAATGAATTGATTTGTATTCTGGCTCGATTTTGCTAAATTTATGTAAATTGGTTAGGAGCATGTTTAGGGGCTTTCATTTGGTGAAAATGTTTAATGTTCAGTTGTTTATGTGCTGTAAAAATTTCGATTGAGTTTTCCAAGCCTATCTTCTTATAGCCATATTCTTATAAATTTAAAACTAGTTCTTTTGACTGGTTTTGGCTTTAATGGCAAGTCCTTGACCTGATGACCTCGTTTTTGTGTCAAACCTTTATTGCATGCCTTTATATGATTTATTTGTTAGTTGGTCGAGTCTAGAAGTCGTCCTAATGTTCCAACTCTACAACTTCCACGAGTTTCTTAGTCGATGTGATTCGACTAAGTATAATTCTCGTTATCTCTGTAAGAGTCGAGATAGTTGCTTATGGGACTGTCTTGACTTATGTAGGTGTCTGACGAGCAGCGTCTCAATCACCTACGACTTTCTGGTTAATTTGCTTTGTCATCCGGCACCAGGTGGGTTTTGAAAAATTGTCTATGCTGTAAATGTTATTACTGTTATAATTGTTTACTTGTGGTATGATCAAAGTATGCATGTGGAACATGTAGCCTTCGATGTGAGCTGTATCGGCCGTCGAACTGTTATCCCCGTAGCTATAGAACGTACCCGATGGGTAGTCTCCTTTATTATTGTTGGCAGTCAGGGCGTGAGCCTTGGCTGGTGATCCCCGTGTAAGGCCAAGGGCCATCGGGGTGGATTTACTCCTACTGACTGGGCACTCGATGTGAGGCCAAGGGCCATTCGATATATAGCTGGCAGTAGTCTATTGATATAGGTGTGCACATGAGAGTGATTATTGATTATTGATTATTGATTATTGATTATTGATGGGAGATTGGGATAGTTTAATGTTTCGTATACATGCCGAGACCGTACCTTATTGATTATTGATTACTGTTCCCTTATTGTAAATAACATTTACTGCATAGTGGTGAGCACTACTTTTCCTCTTGTGTTCATCCCCACCTGCTCTTCCTGGATGCAGGTTAGTACTGCGGGCACGACGGAGGGATGCGAGTGGTGGTCTTAATATTATTGAAATTGCTTCCGCCTAGAACTGTATATTGCTATTATTGATTATTGGATTATTGATAGGGAGTGTATTCCCTAGGATATTGATTATTGGAATGCTTGGATTGTATTATTGATTATTGGGATTATTGATTATTGATGAATGAGTATTGAGGTTTGAGTATTGATTATTGATTTGGAAAATGAGTAGCGCCTCAAATGTTATGAAATAAATTTTGAAAATTTATTCTGATTTTCGGCAAATAAAAGTGGCATTACAGTTTGGTATCAGAGCCAGTCTGCGTTTCTGTAGACTGGTTGATGTGAATTATGTGATTATGTTTTGTGACCTTAAGTTATGACCACTCGCTCTCGTCGTGCCGCGCCAGCTCATGTATGAGTACTTGAATGATTTGGATTATTGTGCATTGCTTGAATATTGATTATTGAAGTGAAATTGGGGCTTAGGAATTTATCCTCCTGCTACTAAACATTCCTGAACTCTAGACGAGTGGTGAACTTAGTTGTTTGAACTTGAACTTTAGTGGTATGGAGTTAAGTTCTTTCTCTAGGAATACTGGTTGAGATTTTCGATATAATGGTAGAATTTTTTTTTTCCTGCTTTAAATCGTTGTTTTCATTTATTGAATTTAAAAATCCGTTGGTTGGTCGGGTATATAATTGTTCGTATACTCGTTGCGTTGATTGTTTTTCTTGAATTCGTCGTGGATATCCGGGAGCAGCTTGAACCGATGATGGAGGCCGTGAAGCGTGGACTTGTAGATGCGAGGCAGTCTTGTTTTATTTTTGAATTCTGGTCTTCTTGTAGACTTCTGCCAACCCTTGCTTTTGTATGGCAAGCAATTTTGAATTGTGCCTGAAGCTTCTTACGTTATCCAATTTTCGCATTTTGAGAATTTCGCTTGAACTTCTCCTTTCTGGCGTGGAACTTCAGATGGAGTGATTTGACGCGTGTCAGAGAGTGTTTCTTTCCACCTTAAAATGTTATGCATAAATCTTTTAAGGAGGATAGTCGAGTCCGGAACAAACACATTGTGGGGTGCTGAGCCACCTTCACTGTGATGTTCGTTCATTATATCTTTAGAAGCTCATTTAAGACTGCCGGCATGGTTAGCTGCGTGAATCAAGAGCTGACGTGACGGCCGACATTGTTATTCGGAAGAGTCGAATGAGCTAAGCGTTTATTATTTTGGTAGTGACCACTGGGATCGGGATTGTTCCTCGCTGAGGGACTGATCCTCATTTCTTTTGGGAAGTTTTTCCCGACCCCATATCATAGGTTGTCCAGTGGTTATTGTTTTGCTTTGGTTAGAGTAGGTAGTGGACTTGGAACTCGAGCATGCTCCTTGTGATATTGGAAACTTTTGAAACCTTTGAAATTCTGAAATGACTGAAATATATATATTGGACCCAAAATTCTCGTTAATTGGTAAAACCATTTCTTTTTGGTAATCTGAGATATAAACTTCTTGTGAAACCTTGAACCGAACGCCGACTCTGGCTGGGTGTAGCCACGCGAAGTGGTGGCCGAGCACGCACGACCGTGCTGAGAGATGGAAGGCTTGCGCGCGGCCGACCGTTGACTCGCATGCGAACTGCAGACGCCATCACCGTACGCACGAACTCCCCAGACCAGCGTGTGTGGCCAACCATTGATGTTTTTCCTGAGCTGTTGAAACTGTTTCGTGCTGGAATACTTGGTTATCCTTTTGAACCACTTTTTGTTTGAACCTTGAACCGAGAGCTCCAAGTCCCACTAAATGTGTGTAGATCCTTAATCGATGATTTCTGATTAAGGAGAGTAGTCAATGAGTCCCTATGCCTTATTTGAGAGTTTCTTGAGTGGGCAAATTGGGAATGCCTTATTGCTATTGGTCAATCCTTATGTTTGCACATAAGGGTTGCGTTCGACTCGTGGAGTCAATATCGTGTGGGTATGAGCATCTGGGGTGTGTTGTATACCGTGTCATAGTCTCTGATGGAGACACACGGTCCATGATAAATCGTGAGCTAATTATTAGTATGACTCGGATACGAGACTGAAACTTGGCGTCACGTGTCCACCTTGTTGGTGAGATAGTCAGAGTACGCTGACAATACATCGAACGACCTGATGAGGTCTTGTGTGTTGTTAGGTATGAAGTTAATAGTTGATACTCATGGATATAGGCCAAGCCAGACTGAGTCCCTTGCAAGAGGATGTGCGCCTGAGCTCGGGCAGGATTGATCACCCTCCCATGCAATAAGGCAAACATATGAGCATAGGGCGAGCCGAATTGAGTCCTGTACGTGAGTGTATACTTTTCGAGTATGTCGTTTTCCTTTAGATGCGTGTTCTTTCGTATTTCTGAGGACGGAAATATTTTAAGGAGGATAGATTGTAACCAATGTTTTTGATCGCGCGCTATCAAATTTAGCGTTTGGCTAATTTGGGCGCTATTGCCGCTATAGCGGCAATTATAGCGGCGCTATCACTACGCTATAGCGGCAGCTATACGCCACAGCGTTGCATTGTTTTTGCCGCTATAGCGCCGCTATAGCGCGCTATTTTATTGCAAACAACTACAGCTATAAAAATTAAATGCAAAGGCATAATAAAAGCAAATAAGTTCACAGCCACAATTCACAACATAAGCATCCACAATTCCACATTGGCAGCCAAGGCATCTAGAGCAATGATCTAGTAAGGACTGTATGGTTCAACAACTACATCCTCAGAACCAGAACCAGATAGCATATCAATATCATTATCATCTTCTCCATTAGAAGATGGAGATGACTCCTCATGCTCAAATGTAGGGATCAACCGCTTTCTCTTTTTGCTCTTTACGGTTCTCTTAGTTCTTTCTACTCCTTGAGGTGCAGCTGCAACTCCTTGTGATAATGCTCTAGTTTCTTCTTCATGCTCTAAATCTCCTTCTGTTGGCTCAATGCCAGTGATCCACTCGTTATCTTCATCTTCTAAAGCATCATGGACAGGTTTCACAATGGGATCTCTATCCTTGTTTTCCTTCTTTTGCCTCAGTTTTGAGTTGAACTTGACAAAAACAAGATCCCTCATTCTGTCATGAAGAAGCCTGTTGCGTCTCTTTGTGTGGACCTGCATTGGTTTGATCAAATAATTGATTTCATTATTTTTTATATTATATGAACTCCAGCATAGAAATTATAAATTACAATTAGTAAGTTTAAGTGACAAATTCATACTTGTTCATATGAACTCCAGCATCTTTCACAAGCTGATGAACTACATGTCAAACTTAGAATTCTACCAGCTAACTTTCTGAGGTTTGGTGCACTAGTTCCATGATTCAGCCACCATTTAGCTAAATTACAAAAAAAAAACAAAAAAAAAAATTGAAAACAGAGGACAATGTAAGATATTATGTACTAGCAGCTAGCACTACTCAACCGTGTTTTATTTTAAATTAATCATACCTGGATCAAAATTGATGTTTTTCAACTGCCTTTTAGCAATTTCTTTGCCAAAGGATCCTTCAGCATCCTGAAACAGTTGAAGCTCTTCAATAATCTTGTCTTGAGTCTCTTCATATGGAACAAGCTTGGTAATGCAAGTGATTACACCATCTCTAAATGATTCATTCTCCTCCATAGCCAACTTGTTTTGATAATAATAGAAAGGGTTCAAGTAGTAACCAGCCCTATGTAAAGGTGTCTTTAGCTTACTGTCCCACCTTTTGTCAATGATGTGAAAAACATCCTCAAACTTGCTCCTGTCATTGTTAAACCTCCTAGAGATCTCATTCTTAGCTTCTACTAGATAACCATACAAGAACCCCATGGCTGGAACATCACTATCCATTCTCCTCAGCACAATAGCTAATGGCTCAAAGTAATGAACAGCAGTCTCAACTCCTTTCCAGAAACTTTCAGATTTGACTACATTGTTTGCTTTCTTCCCTTTGGCACTTTTTAGGTAACCGAGTTCATTGAGCTCATCATCCCTAAAAAGCCTCTGCAATTCATTCTTGTTTTCTAGCAAGCTCTTCAAGTTGAGATAAGCTGTTGCAAACCTTGTAACACCACACCTTACCAAATCTCTAGAAATAAACTTCCTCATTAGGTCTAAAACTCTAGTATGGGCATATAGAAAAACAGTCAAGCACTTTGCTTTGTTGATTGTTGCTGCAACTCTTGGCATCTTTCCTATATCTTCCAACATTAGATCAATGGTATGGGCAGCACAGCCATTCCAAAAAATGGAGGGATGCTTTGCTTTCAACAAACTTGCTGCTGCCTCATTGGGTCTTGCATTGACGGTTACAACTTGAACTACATTTTGCACCCCTATCTCCTCAATGCATCTATCAACCAGGTCAAAAATGTACCTGCCATCCTTCTTCACAGCTGAGCAATCCACTGAATCAAGAAAACAAACACCATATGCACCATGAACTACCAAATTCATCACACCTCTACCTCTCTTGTCTGTCCAAGCATCTGTCATAACTGTGCATCCATTTAGCTCCCAAGACTCTTGGTGAGACTTCAATATCTCCTGCACTTTCCTTTTCCTTTTTTGTAAGAATTTCCCACTCATCTCATATGGAGTTGGCCCTCTCAAGTTTCTGCCAAAGTCTCCAACAGCCCCAAGCATAAGATCAAAGCTAGGCAGTGTCACTGTGTTGTGTGGGATACCTGCTTCATAAAAGAACTGACAGATATACTCACATGCTCTGTCCCTTTTCTCTTCTCTTTTTTCAGTTGATAGCTTGGACTGGACCTTTTCAGCAACACCATATTTGCCCTTCCTTGCAGCCACTACTTCTTCTGGTGTCATTTTACAGTACTTGTCCATAGGACCCCCTGAAGAAGCACTTTTGCTTGTAACCTTCTTCAACACAACAACTGAATTGCCATCAGTATCACTGTGTTCCTCTCCTTCAGAATGGCTCAAATCAACTTCAGCTCTATCATATTCTTTCTCCCTATTCTTCCTTTGCTTGTTATCCAACTTCTTTGACAGCAACTTAAATTTCTTCTTTCACATCAGATGGAACTTTACTACACTTTGCAACACCACATTTAGGAACATTACCAAGGTGGTATTTGATTCTGGTTATTCCACCATTATAAATGTTTTCACAGTAGTTGCACTTCAGAGAATTTTTCTTGTTCACATCTGGCATTGTGCAGTGCTTCCAAGCTGGGTCAGATGCTTCAGCAAGAGTATCATTTAATTGTTGTAGCTGGGCGGTGGATGCAGTGCTAGATAAGCCTACAGTAGACACAAGACACACAAACACAAAGATATGAGAACTACAAATTAGAAAGCTTCACTTTGTTTAGCAAGCATCTGAAAATTACAGTAGAGTAGTAGACCCTATTACAGTAGAGAGTAGACCCTATAATTGAATCACTAACTGAAATTATAATACAGACTACAAAGTAGACATATTGATTTTTTTCACTAAGACAATAATTGACTAACTAACTGAAATTACAGTACAAAGTTTTGACAAATTATTCAAAGAAAATTCAATTTTCACTAACTGAATCCCTAATTGAAGAATGAAGATGCCAACAGTACCAAGTGATATTTACTTCCAAATTCAATTGTCGCTGAGAAAGATTTTTTTTTAAGATATATCCATCTGTTCACTTTCTCACTTCAAATATGCCACAAAGGAGAAGATCTTACCTAGTGTTGCCGCTGGACTTGGATTGTTGTCACTTGGAGAAGCCATTGTCAGCAACTGCAGGAAATCAGGAGAAGAGCTTGCCCCCCGCCGCCGTCGCGCAGTGCTCGCCTGCTGCCGGTTCCGTGCTCGCCCTCAGCCGCCGCCGGAAAGCCCTACGCGCAGCTGCCGTGGTGAAGACTCGAATGGACCGCTGAATGACTAGGGTTCACTTCAAGTGGCTCATCTCGCACTCGCAGATAAAAATAAAGAAACGCAAACTTCTGTTTAGAAAGATAGAAAATTTGATATTGAATTATTGGGCTGGGCCACTTATTTTTGTAAGGAGAAAAATGTTTAGGTGTTGCCTAATTGGGCTGGGCCACTTTTTTTTGTAATTACTGGGCCACATTGGCTGTTTTTGGGCCGACCAGCTATAGCGGCGATTTAGCGCGCTATAACGTCAATAGTGCGCTATAGCGCGCTATAGCTCCAATAGCGCCTATAGCGCAAAAATGTAAGATTGCGTCGCGTTAGTTGATTTGAGCCGCTATAGCGACGCTATAGCGGCACTATAGCGCGCTATTTGTTTCACTGATTGTAACGCCCCGTTCGACTTATAGAATTTCTCGGAATATTCTATATATCGAATATTATTTGAGATTGTATTTATTAGTCGCGATGTCGGCTTAAATAATAGGTTGGAGTACTTGATCGTTTTATTTTAAAACGTTTGATGTTCGGAGATTTTGGTTTAATCGCATAGTTCGGATTTAACCGTTCGATTTATTGAATTTGTTTTTCAGATGTTATTGTATTGGTATTATTATTATTAATTTATATTTAATTGCTAAATTGTCTAAATGTTTGACTGCTTATAAATATTAAATATATATTACTTGTCTAAATGATTATTATAATAAATATTATGTGTATATAAATATATTATCCGATTAATTGATTAATCGCGTACGGATGAACCGATTTTATTTTATTGATGTCGAGCTATTAATGATTGCTAAGTCGAGCCAAGAGTATGAGAACCGAGGACAAACAGGCCCGCGCCCCGCGCCTTTGGCCCGAACCCATGACCCGCGACCCGTTTTATCTATTTTGGAGAGAAAGATTCTAAACCCTAAGTTATTATGCGTATAAGCTCTTTCTCTTGAGACCCTCACGCAGCTTTTTCCAAAAAAAATATAAAAAAAAATCTGACTTCTCCCTCTCTCTCGTTTTAATTCCTCTCGATATCACCATCATCCCTCCACCATCATCATCGATCACCATCTCTCTATCTTCTATATCATCACCATCATCATCACCATCATCACCTCGCGACTGCAACGCCATCATCATCGATGCCCCATCGCGAGAAGCACCCACAAACGCTGCTCCTCCGCCTGCAAATCCGAGCGCCGCCTCTGTCAGCCCATCGCCGCCGTGAAACCGAGGTCAGACATCGCCCATCGCCGATGTCCTCTCGTGTCCTCGCTGTAAGGAACCAGTTTCGTGCAGTCCCGTCATCATCAGGCCCCAAATCGCTCTTCGCTCGACCCCTGTTCTCGTGTCACGTGGCATCCTCTGACCAACGCCGGCGAACCCGTGAACCCCGACCACCGCGCACCACTGGGACCACCACCACCTGTTGTTCGTGATCGTGGGCCATCAGCGAAGCTCGACACCTGTTTCTAAACTCGTTCGAACTCCGGTTGCTGTCCACGTAACCCTTCCTCGGTCCCGCTGCTGTTCCGACGTCGCGATCGTCCTCCTCGGAGTACTGTTCACGTGTCATCCATCCCGACGATCCGCTGCTCTGCCCCTGAGCTTAACCCCGGTGGTCCCAGCAGTCCCGTGATTCCATCAGCAAGCCCGTGCTTGTTTGCTATTCGAGTATCGCAGATCCCGACGAGAACCGACGACCCGCAGCCGAGCCCCACCGTGTTATTGTTGTTCGTACCCCTGTCCACAATTTCCACGTGCAACGGCTGCCCCGTACTGCTTTCCCAAAGTCCGAACTGCAAGCAATCGACCCCCCCAACGTGCACGTGCTATCCGTTCGGCCTCGATTTGGTCCCGTTTTGTAACCCCGTCCCGAGAACGGTACCCGGGCTAAACCCTTGACTTATTTATCTCGCATTACATGTATTAAAGTGCTCGTATCCGTGTCGTTATTGCTGAACGTGAGAGTTCGACTAATTATATGTCGTAGTTGAATATCTTGTATAATTATTGATATATATGTTGAAATTGGATACCAAAGTGATTGCCGTCACTTTGGAAAATTGTTGAACTGAGGTTAATATTTTATGTGGGAGTGCTGTGAACTATTGGACTTAGTAATGTCCTTGACGCAACGGCTTTGGCCTTGCGTCGTTTCGATGTGTGTATTGTAAAATATGAATTTTTGAAAATCGTGCTGCAACCCGTTTTTGTTAAAATCACTATAATTCGTGTATTGCTCCAAAAATTTTGATTTTTGGATATGTTGTCACATTGCTGTTGTATTACTTGTAGTTAAAATATGAGATTTTTATATGGCCTGTAGCCTCGTCAAAAATTAAAAACCGTTTCTGGGTTGTTTCGTAATAAATTCATATAAAATTGAGTTCTTGTCCGATTAAGCTAATTTTTGGATATGTTGTTTTTCTTAATGATATCTTGCTGCTGTAAAAAGTTCAAAATAAAATTCAGACCGTAGCTATTTTAAATGAATTGATTTGTATTCTGGCTCGATTTTGCTAAATTTATGTAAATTGGTTAGGAGCATGTTTAGGGGCTTTCCTTTGGTGAAAATGTTTAATGTTCAGTTGTTTATGTGCTGTAAATATTTCGATTGAGTTTTCCAAGCCTATCTTCTTATAGTCATATTCTTATAAATTTAAAACTAGTTCTTTTGACTGGTTTTGGCTTTAATGGCAAGTCCTTGACCTGATGACCTCGTTTTTGTGTCAAACCTTTATTGCATGCCTTTATATGATTTATTTGTTGGCTGGTCGAGTCTAGAAGTCGTCCTAATGTTCCAACTCCACAACTTCCACGAGTTTCTTAGTCGATGTGATTCGACTAAGTATAATTCTCGTTATCTCTGTAAGAGTCGAGATAGTTGCTTATGGGACTGTCTTGACTTATGTAGGCGTCTGACGAGCAGTGTCTCAATCACCTACGACTTTCTGGTTAATTTGCTTTGTCATCCGGCACCAGGTGGGTTTTGAAAAATTGTCTATGCTGTAAATGTTATTACTGTTATAATTGTTTAGTTGTGGTATGATCAAAGTATGCATGTGGAACATGTAGCCTTCGATGTGAGCTGTATTGGCCGTCAAACGGTTATCCCCGTAGCTATAGAACGTACCCGATGGGTAGTCTTTTTTATTATTGTTGGCAGTCAGGGCGTGAGCCTTGGCTGGTGATCCCCGTGTAAGGCCAAGGGCCATCGGGGTGGATTTACTCCTACTGGCTGGTCACTCAATGTGAGGCCAAGGGCCATTCGATATATAGCCGGCAGTAGTCTATTGATATAGGT